ATAAAACACATACTTTGCATTTAGCCAACTCAAGTCCCTGGGAACCTGCACTCTCTTTTGGAAGTCAACTCCTAAAGATTGGAACATCTAACCTTCCAGACCCCAAAAAACTCTCCCTAGAAACAAGACACGCTCCAGCTTTCAATATAAGTTTCCTTTTATTTTGAAACAGTGAAATTGGTTCATGGCTGAAACAACCTTCATGGGGAAGAAACCTGGAGTGCTTATCCATCAAAAGAACAATCTCTCAAAGTCTGAGCCTGCCGCCCACCTCCCCCAACACAAAGAACAGATGAAAGGTTGGGAGGGAGGGCACAATCAAATTCAGGGTGATGACAGCTGGCAGAGTTCTGGTAAAGTACAATTTTCAAAGTTGCCATGATTACAGAATAAGGTAGCACTCATAAACAACAACAACAACAAAATAGTCACAAGCCCTCCAGCCCCTCTGGGATTCTCATCCAGAAAAATCAATTCCTCACTGGAAGTGATGTCTCAGGACTGCATATCAATTCATTCACTCTACCCCTGGGGAGTGGGCTCTTTTGACATACTCTCTTTTGGAGACCAAGATCACAACTCTGAAGCAAAGGGAGACTTCAAATGGTGGTAGAGGATATTCATGATGCTAGTTTGTAATCTGCTTAAATTATTTTTTTTTGAGAAGCTTAGAAACAAATTTAATGAACATTGGCAACTGTTGACCTCTGCCAGACAGTATAGGTGAGAAGAGTCCTAAAATCTCTACAAACACACAGGTTTTACAATAACAAGCCAAAAACCCAAGACTCTTAGGCAACGCTGAAGTTTGCTCTTGGGAGATCTTCATTTTATGATGTTTGAATACACTCTCCTGCTGGATAGTTTCCTTTGACGGAAGAGTATTTTTTTCTTCAGTATTAGTTTTCTTCAATTTTGATGCCTTTACTAGCACTGGTTCACAGAAAGCGTGCATTGAAATGTCCCAAGTGGCCACCCAACCACCCTCCCAAAGGGGAAACGCCAAGTGGGGACTTAAGTACCCTCAACACACACAGCATTCCTGCTGAGGGTCCTGAAGTCGCCTGGCTGGGTGAGTAGAGATGCACTGGCAGCCGGGGTGGGAATGCAGCAAGCCCAGGCGCATGCATACTGGGCAAGCTGTACCTGTTGATAGCTAGCGCAGTAAGTGAAGAGCACCAAAGAGTGAAACTTATTTATGGGGGAAAAAAGAGAAGAGTTTAGGAATTAAAACAATCCAGTAGTCACTGGAAAGTTATCTCCCTCCTTTAAAAGAAGAAAAAATTTTTTTGGCTTTTTAATTTTTTATTATTTTTTGGAAAGTATTTTTAAAGTAATATTTTCTTTTCCTTTGGAAAAAGAAATCTTTTTCCCCCCCTAACCTAATCAAGTGGAACTGCCACTACCTAATTTATCTCTATTGTTCTGCTAAGAGGTAGATTAAAATAAAAGTGAAATGGGGTTTCTATGAGGAGGTCCTTTAGTGGGCAGAGAGGGGCTGGTCACCCAGTGAAGCTCCCCAACTACAAAGATGGCCTGAGCCAGCCCAGTGGACTCTCCCAGGACAAAGGATCCTGCTCTGTCTCTTCTCCCAGAGCCAGCTGTCCTCCCCCTCCTTGTGGAGAAAGGGGTTCAGTGGAGGTAGAGGATCTTTAAGAAACCCTGTTGAAGGGGCCCTGGTTCTGGCTTCCCAGGACTTGGCAGCTGAATGGGAGATTCTAAGGCAAAGCCCCAGAACTCACCTCCAGCCAGTTCTCTAAGGGAGGAACCCATTCTTTTCCTCACCATCTGGTCCATCCAAGCTAAAGCAGGTGAGAGGGACAAGCTGGAGGGAATGGGGTGAAGCATGGGTGAGGAAGGCAGAAAGCGGGACGAGATGACAAACCCTGCCAACCCGACCAATGAGTGGGGGATCTAGGCAGGCCTGCCCAATCCCCAAGACAAACCTTTTGTGGCACAAGCCTCAACTCTCTTCTGGCTGGGATTCATACCTCATGCACGAGTCCCGCCCTCAGTTCCAATCTTATTGTAAGGATTGAGGTAGTTAATCCATTTATACTCGTAGCATTCATCATCTGCGGTTACACAAAACACATGCTCCAGGAAGCTTCCTGCTCTTTCATTTAAGAAAAACAAAAATTCTCTTCTTTTGTCTTGCCAGTCTGGATTCAACCATTCCAGAGGATCAGTAACGGTGCCAGACTGTGCCCTGAGACGGTAGGCAGGGCTGAGGCTCAGGCTGGGGCTCTTGCCCATCCACTAGATCCCCCTGGTCACTGGGCCTTCTCCCCTGTCCTGCACCCTCACCAGATGTATTAAAAGAAGAGAAACGAAGTTTCAGCTGGTGTCACTCTACATCTGAATACAAGAGGAACATTCTGTACCTAAACCATAGAGTATCTGGAAGGAAAATGGCTTTTATGTCCCCTGGCATTGATGAGGATTTCTCTTCACTCATCCTGCAATGACTCTCAGGCTATGCTGTTTTCAACAAACAGGCAAAACAGTTGTGTGGTTTGAATGGCAAAGCCACTAGGATCTCCCCTATAAACACTCAGGGGAAAAAAGGAGACCCCACCCCAAGAGGGGCGGAGGAAGAGTTGCCTAAAGGCACCAGCTCCTCTTGGGGCTCAGGAAGGCTTGGTGCCCCTGGGGCTGAGGTAGTTAGCAGCACTGCTGGTTCCCAGTTGGCAGAGGGTGTCTGGGGAGGGAGGAGGGGAAGGCACCCTTGAGAGCTAACTGAGGCCCCTCCTCACTGCCAGTCTGCCAGGCCTGAAGGGAACTGCACTGTGCATCTCTGCAGTGGGGACAGGGGACTACAACAGTCCCACAAAGAGAGGCCCTAAATTTCTTCTCCTTCCCCAAAGTGCAACCGGGAGCCAAAGGACCCCTTTTTTTTTCCCCTGCTCCCTAGCCCTTGGCAAGCACCACTCCCAAGTCCCCGAGGGGCTTCAGGAGAGAGGACTTTTCTTTAGCTCACACTGTCTCCAAGCCCCTCCCCCTTGCAGACAGCCCTAGATGTGGAAAGATGACTGGCCACTGCACTGCTTTGTCTCAGAAACAGCCTCTCAGCCTGTCTGTCTGTCTGTCTTTGGCACAGAAGAAAACGGACAGACCAACTGGAGCAACCCACTCCAGTGTCCTCTGGGATGTACATGGGGTCTTTTTGGCCAACAGTGAGGCATGTAAGACCAGCTCCCAACTTCCACAGAAGTGGAGAGTTCAGGAAAGGAAAAACAGATGGATAAGGACCGGAAGGAGGGGAGGAAAGAGTAGAGGGTGATATACAGCTTCCCTGTTCTGAACACTCTCTCCTGCCCAGACCCCTCCCAGAAACTGAGTCCACAACCCAAACTGCAAAAGGCAACTGGACCCCAGAAGGAATTAAAGCCATTGGGGTGTAACTGGCAGATGCAGCCTCAAAGTCAGTCAGTGAATCAAACCATTTTGGCTTTTTATGTGTTTCAAAGAATTTAAAAATAGATCCTAAAGAGATGGTCCTTTCATAAAAATATATGTGTACCACACACACACATATCTATCTATCTATCTATATACCTTAGAGTATGGAAGCATTTTCTTTAAAGTTGCTTTTCTCAAAACCATCCAAATCTCCCAAGTGCTTTTCATAACAGTCTGTTATCTCACCAAGGATGGGGAAAGAGAGGTGATGAGCAGGGCAAGGAGCTGCCTAAGACCTGGCCTTTAGGTCACAGGAGGACTCAGAACAGGTCCTTCCCTCCTGCTAACTTCTAGCCACTAATCCATACTCTTCTGCTTTCTGATAGGCTAACTTTCACAATCTTCCTGCTGGACAAGTATTGGCGACAAATGGAGCCTTGCCCAATCCAAGAAAGTTTTCCAGTCCCTTGCCACACTTCCTGATTTCTTCTGGGAGCTGAGTCAGCCAAAGAAAAAAGGACTTGGGCTTAAGGTGTGAAGGGAGCAGGCCCCCAAGGAACGGAACCCTCCAACAATCTCATTTCAGGTACTGTGGGATTTTTTTTTTCTCCTGATGATCACTTGAACCAGATATCAAAGCATGCTTGCTGGTAGAAATCCACTTTAAAATCATTAAATGGCCGAAGTCTGAACATTGTCTGCTTCATCGGGGGACAAAGCATATAGAGCCAGAGATGGGAAGTTGGGAGACCCTTTCTTTATGTGTCTGGGACGGGTGGGAGATTTAATCCTACTGACCTGACACCATCCCTAAGTCTGAGGGCTACAAAGGGGTGTCATGGGGACCAAGTGGTAAGATCATACGAAGAAAGAACCTGTCCCCAATTCCCTGTCCCTCCTGGCCACCCACCACCCTAAATCAAGAATTCCCTAACAATGGGTCCACTTCTAGAATCAACCTGATCAACCTAAAGAAGGTAGGGAGATGGGGGTGGGCAGTTATCTGAGGATCTGCTTGCCTTGTGGTCTACGAATGATATAGACTAAGAAGAATAGCAAGATGGGATGGAAGTGAAACAATAACCAAAAAATAAACACGAAAGCACTGCAGTGACCAACCAGGTGGGCCTCTCGGGGAGAGGGCGGCCTTGTCGTTCTCCCATGAACAGAATTTTGGCTCCTATATTTTTAAAGAAATACAGGTCTTCTTAAAAGGGTATATTTTTTAGTTATTATTTCTCTCCTCGATAAAACGGAGGCAATATTTTAAAATATAGTAACAGCACCACTGGTGGGAAAAAAACCAGCCAAGATGCTGTTTAACCAAAGAGGGGAGAGGGGTATCCACAGGCCATTTGATTAGCGGACACTGCTGTTTTGCCCCCAGGGGTCCAGGCTCTGCCAGGTCTTTCAATCCTACTAGGCAGGATGTTCCAGAGGAGCTGCAAGGTCAGAGATGAGAGCCCAGCAAGGTCCTGGGCTGTGCACCCTGGGGTATTCAAGCCTGGGTCTTCCTCTCCACCCCAGCCTCCTCCCCAGGATCCAGCCCTCTAGCCCCCACCCTTCCCCATAGGGCCTGTTCTCCATAGAGAGTTCCTAAAGGGTTACTGGCTCATATTGTAAGAAATTATGAAACATAACTTTCTCATTTTTTTCTTTTCATTAAAAAAATAAAATATTCAAGACTATCAGCATCTCTTCTGCTTTGCTTCTCTTTTTCATATAAAATATCAGCAAGCCGCAAAGAAAAAAAAAGATTAAAAAATTTTTTTAAAGAAACAAAAAACACTGGGGTTTAGGGGAACAAAAAGGAAAATTGCTGAGGTAACTTCATACCTTGAGGTAGTTTACTCCACACACAGCACTGCCTGACTCCGCCCATACGTCATGGTTTTTGTCACTGTTGTCCTTGTAATGTTGGGAGGAGGGGAGCTCCACATGCATGGGCCTTCCTTCCTTCCCAGAACACATGATAGTATTGTCCAGGGTAGCTAAAGTGCATCACCTGGCTGATATGCATTACAATCAGTACAGCATTACGAGGGGAGGCCTCCCCTCAATTAACTGCTAGCTGCTGTCCTCCACAAGGGGCTAACCTTCTAACAGGATCTTACTGAGCCTGGTAAGTTAATAAATTAAGTGTGCTCACCCCTTTGTGCATAATGATGCTGGTTTGTTTATTCTGGTGTTTTTAGGCAGGCTTTTGCATTGTGACAGGAATTCATGGAGGCAGAAGCAGTTAAATACTCCTCTAGAATAAAAACAGAAGCAAATAAGCTCCAATTGACTGTTTGCCAGATGATGGACTTTAGCTTTATCAGGCGCTCAGGGTTGGGTTCCAAGTCCCACCTCCACCAAGAAAACAGTGCCCGTGGTGGGGAGTACACCACAACCCTTGCCTCTAGGAACCAGCCCTATTTGGAGCACATGGGCTGGGGTGAGGGCACCTTTGGGCCACTCAAATCCTCCATGGAACTGAGGCTTTATCAAGGGGAGTTCACATCCCCTTCCCAGTGCTCATATCCGATCATTAAAATAGACTTTTAAAAAATATAAAATCCGCCTGAGAATGATGGGAATCAGGGACAGTGGTCAGCCCCTACCCTGATGAGCATGTGGTGCCAACTCATATGCACCAAGATGTGATATGGGGCCCATAGGATGAGAGGGATGCAATGGGGAAACCCCAAGTCAACCGGGAGAAATTTCCATTGTACCAATTTTTCAATATGGTGATCTGGAATAGATCACACACAGGGCATACTGATTTTTTTGGGGTAGGGTGCTAAGGATGGAACCCAGGACCTTGCACATGCTAGGCAAGCACTCTAACCACTGAGCTCTATCCTCAGCCCACGGGTACTCCTTTTAAACGTGGATTAGCGTATATAATCAATATCTTTATCCTTCTTTATATTTTGTGATTCCCACTGATTGCTTAAGGAAGGATCAGAATTAAATGACAAATGGTAGGTCTTCTCCATAGTCATAGAAACTATGTACCAGTCCTGTATCCCCCTGTAGCAACAAGGATAAAACAATGTAAATGGATAAAAGAAGAGCTGGTGTGTCAGTCAAGGCAATGAAAATGGAGGAATTTTCATCAATTAAGCAAGAAGGGAGAAGGTTGGATAGATTTTAGGGTCAAGAAACAAACCATCCTTTTGAGGTTTTTAAAAACCTGAAGCAAATTTTATTTCTCTTCCCCACTGGGGGTCTGACCCACCCTTTTGGTGAAGGCTGGAAAACTTCCTTAAAACAATCCACGTTTAAAAGCAGCCTGAGCTACAATTGCAATGGTGGCATTCCAAGAGGTGGGCCATGGTGGTCAACTAGTTGAGTTGGGGGTGAGAGATCAGGATTCCTCACTGAACATCTTTCTCAAGACAGTGGGCAAACCTGATCTCTAGCCAGGCCTAGAGACCCCTGATTCCCACTCATTCTCAGGCCTGCCGGGAAGAGCACACGCGCCCTCCAGTTCTAGTTTCCGCCTGCTGTTCTGGAGCCAATGGGATGGGAAGGGACTGGTCACTTCCTCCGAGCCTGGGCCTGGTTGCTCTGCCCCTTCTGGTGCTGCTGTTTAACCTGAGCCAGGATGTCTCGGATCTTCCTCTGAGCCATCTGCAAGAACAGGAAAGCAGGATGAAGGTGGGGGCCCCCGAAGAGAGAGGCTTTGCACATAGGTAACAAAACTGGCACCTGGAACTCAATAAAGAGGAAGCCCCGAGCATTCACCAAGTAAGGTGTGTATGTGATGGAGCAAGAGGGAAACAGTATAAACTCATTCATCAGGATTTAAACCTAGACCCATCCATATGGTGAGGCTGAACTGGATGAACAACTCCTAAGGAGAAGTATATTTCATGCTGTTCTAGCCATAAATTAGGAAGCACAGGAGTAAGATGCCAGATACAACATAACAAAACACTGATGTAAGAAGATCAGACACCCAAGAGCAGCTTATACCTTCCTTCTTAAAAGGTTCTTCCTGCCATACATGGTGGTACGCACCTTTAAAGCCAGCACTCAGGGGGCAGACCTCTGCCTGGTCTTTATAGTGAAACTGTCTCAAAAAATTTTTATTTTATTATTTTTATGTGCATGAGTGTATTATCTGCATATGCGTTAAGTGCACCTGTGTGGTGCAATGCCTGCAGAGGTCAGAAGAGGGTGTCAGATCCCCTAGAACTGGAGTTAAGGACAGTTGTTAGCCATGACATAAATGCTGGGAATCGAGCCTGGGTCCTCTGGAAGAACAGCCAGTGCTTTTAACTGCTGAGCCATTTCTCTAGCCCCTCCAAATTTTTTTTTTACAAGTTTCTTTCCTAAGATTTTTTTGGTTTTGGTCTTTTTTTTGAGGCAGGGTCTCCCTGTAGCCCCAGCTGGCCTGGAACTCACTTTGTAGACCAGGGTGGCCTCGAACTCTCAGAAATCTGCCTGCCTCTGCCTCCCGAGTGCTGGGATTACAGGTGTGCGCCACCACGATTTTTTTTTTTTTTTTATAAAGGGAATCAACCACAAAATGGGATCCACATGTTAAGATTTCACCCAAATATCTCCTTCCCATAAATTGAGTGTCTGGTTAAACAGACTTGGTCTACTATTTATGAGTTCAGAACAAATATGGTGATTCACGCCCTTAATCTAAGCACATGGAAGATCAAGGCAAGATTGCCTGTGAATTTGAGGCTAGCCTGGGCTACATAGTGAAACCCTGACAGGGGGGTAGGGAGTGTTTCAAAATTCATCAGCCACGAGTTTTTACAGAGCTTTTCATTGAATCCTTGTTCTGGTAAGTTTCCATGGGCAAGGCACCTGGCACTGTGCATCCCTAGGCATGCCAGTCATCCTTACAAGCCTCATTCTCGTGAGAATAATGGGAATATTGTGGCGCTTAACTGAGTTAATAATAGGTAGAAAGCATGTGAGGCAGTGCTGGGTTTAATCATAAACCTTGGCTATTATTCTCATGGCTCTCACTGACAATTCCCAAAGAGAGAAAATTGTAAATACCAGGTAACAAAGCAGAGGGAGTTCCAAGCCTGAGTTCTGGCCCTAACTGCTCCAGCAGTTTCAGGGGCCACAGACCACTGGTGAACCCTAAGAAGGGTGTTCATACCTCATAGTCCTGGCTTTCAATGTGAACACTGGGGCGATGTTTCAGAGTTTGGGAGAGTCCCGTGATAAATACCCTTTCCTTAAAATCTGAACCTAAGATTACATTCTTTCCAGGCTCCAGAGTCACCCCAGTGACAAGTAAGAAAGGAGATAAAGAGTTCCAAGAAGGGACACAAAGCCAGGTATGGTGCCACACACCTGTAATCCCAGCCTGATGGCGAGTTGAGGGGTGGGGGGGCAGACAAAAAGAAGATCCAGGGAGGGAGCAGTCACTCTGGCAAAGACAAAGGGACTCCTTTGAAAATGCACTCTAGCAACTCACTACAGTTCATATTATTATTCTATAAACAAGGCTGAATACTAACTTCCTTACATACCTAGCACAAAAGGGGTTAGGGAGAGACTAAGCTTAGATAACCAAGATTATAAATAAACAATGTAAAACACAATAGATACAGCCATTACATATCATACATAATATACATGGAAACTGTTAAGTAACCTCAAAATTTTTTAAAATGTAATATTTTGAATTATGTGTATGTCTTATGTGTGTGTTTATGCACATGAGTGTGGTGTCAGTGTAACCCAGAGGACAGCACCGAGTCCCTGGAGCTGGAGTTACAGGTGGTTTTGAGCCATCTGAGGTAGGCGCTGGAAACTGAACCCAGGTCCCCTTCAGGGGAAGTATGTCTGTACTCTCAACTGCTGAGTCACCTCTCTAGTCCTCAAAAAAAATTTTTTTACATTTATTTGTGTGTGTGTGTGTGTGTGTGTGTTTGTACACGCTGAGGTCATTAGACAACTTGAAGGGAGCTGGTTCTCTCCTGTAACATAGGCTTTGGAGTCATTAGGCTTGGTGGCAAGCACCTTTAATCCCAGCACTCACTTAGGAGGCAGAGCAGGCAGACCTCTGTGAGTTCCAGGCCAGCTGGGGCTACAGGGAGACCCTACCTCAAAGAAAAGAAAGGAAAGGAAAATAAAGGAAAGGAAAACGAGCAACATCCACACATCGCACTCTTGCAACTGGAACAAGTCTAAGCCAACCCAGAGCCCGCAGATATAGGAAGATATAGGCAGATATAGGAAGGTCACAGGACCTGCACAAGTCACATACAACAACCTTGGGAGCATTCACTTCTGTTCCTGGCTCCCGAAACCCTCTGGAGCATGGTACGTACCTGGCTGGCATAGAAATGCCCAATGATCTTAACAATGACTTGGTCGTTCTCATCTGGGGTCTGGTCTCTTGGCACTACCACTTCAGCTGCGGTCAAATTCTGCAACTCATTCACCTGGGGGCGGCCAGAAAGGAGTTCAAAATACCAGCAAGAAGGAGGGAGGGAGTGGGAGGGAGGGGGTGACTCAGTGGTAGAATGCTTTGCCTAACATATATGAAGACCTGGGTTCAAGCCCTAAAAATCACAGAAAAGTGGGGAAGGGAAGATGGCTGGGACTGGAGGGTGGGTGAAGTAGGTGACCAGTAGGACTCAGGCACGGAGACTAGGGAGTAGACCAAGTCAGTGAACAAAGGGGTCTCCCAGGGCAGAGGAACAGAAGCCAGAGATGCAGAATCTGGAGATGACAGCCTGTTGCTTCCAACCCTCAGCACTCACCGTTTTGCCACCTTTGCCAATAACCCGGCCAGCTGCCGAAGCCGGCACCCGTATGTGGGTCTCCAGCTTTACTTCCTCCTTGGGACCAAAGAAGTTCTCTTCTTTGAGTTTGCCATAGATTCTTCCCTGAGCCTGGGGAGGGGAGGTCAAGGTTAAAAGTAGCCACATATCTTTGGTGGAGGGGAAGAACTTAAGCAGGAAGTACTGCCTCATGTTCCAGGTCCATTAAAAACATTTTTTTGAGCCGGGCGTGGTGGCGCAAGCCTGTAGTCCCAGCACTTGGGAGGCAGAGGCAGGCGGATCTCTGCGCATTCAAGGCCAGGCTGGTCTACATAGGGAGTTCCAGGACAGCTGGGGCTACAGGGAGACCCTGCTTCAAAAAGAAAAAAAACAAAACAACAACAACAACAAAAAAACCTTTTTTTGGGCTTATTTTTATTTTATATATACAAGTATTAGGCCTGCAAGCATGTAAGTGCACCCGTGTCATGCAGTGCCTGAGGAGAACAGAAGAGGGTGTCAGATCCCCGAGAACTGGAGTTTCAGGCAGTTGTTAGCCACTATGTAGGTGCTGGGAGTTGAACCTATGTCTTCTGCAAGAACAGCCAGTGCTCTTAACCATTGAGCCATCTCTCCAGTCCCCAGATTATGATTTTTAAAAATACGTTTATTATTTTTATTTTATCTGTATGAGTGTACTGCCTGCATATTTGCAAGTGCGCATGTGTCATACAATGCCTGTGGAGGTCAGAAGAGGGAATCAGATACTCAAGTTATGGACAGTTGTTAGCTGCCATGTGGGTGCTGGAATTCGAACTTAGGTCTTCTGCAAGAGCAGCCAGTGTCCGTAACCACTGAGTCATCTCTCTAGCCCCAAGTAGTATGATTTCTGAGTAACTGACTATCCCGGCACTAGAGAGGCAGAGGCAAGGACTGCCACAAGTTCAAGACCAGCCTAATTTACAAAGCTAGTTCCAGGCCAGCCAGTGTTAACATAGTGAGACTCTGCCTTAATCTCCCCCACCTTCCTGCTTAAAAAGAGCAACTGAATAAACATCAGAGGATTATGATTCATAAGCTATGCACCATACCTACTATAGATTTCCTTCCTTCCATCCTGGGATGACTTATTTGGATGTGGAATGATTAATATGTCAAGACCATGGATAGCAACAGCTGGTAACATTACGCAGACAGTACCGGGTGCCTAGGGAGCCACTTCACACAGATCAGGTTAAACTGACTGTTAGCTCTGGCTGTCTGACTGAAAGTGCAGGAATCTAAGACTATGGTACAGACACAAAGGAGGGAGGGGGAGTTGGCATCAAATGCAAAGACCTTAGATTTCCTTCCTTCCCATATGCTGTGTGGAGGAGCATGAGCAAGTGAAGAGGGAAGTGAAAATGAACAGAAATCAGGCTTGATGACACTTAGAAAACAGTTTTGCAGTTATGTATCTTGTATAAAAGGCTGAAGGATGCGACAAGAATTTAACAGCTAACAGCAGTTGCCCTAGCTTTTCTCTGTGTTAAACCCTTCCCAACCTCAGTTCCCCTGCATCCAGCTTGGAAAAAAAAAATAGATCAAACCTTGAATTGAGCCTCCGGGGGTCCTGTGATGATAACCATTCGAACTTTGGAGTCAGGTGTTTCGGGTGGAGCAATCTACAAATCAAATAGCTGATCAAAGAGGGGCCCTCTAGGAGAAGACCTGGACATCTTCATTCCCTCCAGGTCCTTCCCACTGCCTATTCGGAGGGCTGAGGATTCTGATGAAAGCATGGGCACTCAGCCTTAGAAGAATCAGCTTGAGTGGCCCTTTCTTGGGAGAATCTCTCTGCCCCTCCCTCAGCGGGTTTAGAGTGAGATGACCGGGTGGGGCAGAGAGTAGCTGAACCTCCCTTCCACCAAATGAAGTATTGCCTGGGCCCAACAGTAGCAGGACGGTTTCCCAGTATCGTACATGAGGTAAGTGAGGCTCAGGTCCCTCAGCTTGCTGGCATGGGGGATCAGGATGGAGCAGGATGGGGCTGTGACTGGGATCCAAGAAGACACCCACAGAGGACTAAGGAAATCCAAAGCAAAAAGGATTTGCACCCATGAGGGAAGGTTCCCTAACTGTAGAACTCTTCCAAAGTATGAAGTGAACTGGAGCTCATGCCCCAGGACCAAGAAGACCCCAGAGCAAATCACCTTGATGGAGGCACTGGCGAACCGTGAGAGCTGCTTGATATGTTGGCCCTTCTTGCCGATGATGGCACCCACAGCCTGGGCGGGGATGAACACCTGCACCATCTCCTGCTCTGGAGCCTGCTGCCGGAACAGAGGCCTCCTTACTAAAGGCCTGGGAGCAGGACCCAGGAGCCCTTCCACCCAGCTGCCTTACAGTCTCCAGGAGAAAGTACCCAGGGCTGTGGAAAGACACTGCAAACTCTTAAGCTCCCTGCCAGCTAACAGGGAAGAGGCCAGTTGAGGGAAACACTGCCAGTATCGTACATGAGGTATAGCAGGCATACTGGCTCTAGAGAGCCAAGGGAGGCTCCCCTCCCTGTGCTAATGTCCCAAGTCCCACAGTTCCTTAGGTCCCCAGTGATAAGACCTTCCACCTACCATAAAGGAGCTGTAGGGAGCAGCACCAGTGACGCTGCTGGGAGGTGGCGGAACAGCACTGGACGAGGCTGGGAAGAGACCTACGGCAGCCAGGTTGAGGCCTGGGATGAGGTGAGACTGCAACTGAGGGAGAAATGTGAAAGGCCAGTCAGGGACTGGCAGGGACTGGCAGTCCCTGGTGTGTGGCTCAGGATGACCTAAACAAGCCAGCTCCTCCCAGAGGAAGTCAGCTAAAAACACAAGAATTATTTGCTTTTGTATAAAAAAACCAGCCTGGCATTATGATTTTCCATGGGGTATGGAATTGTCTTCATTGGACTAACTAACCGACATCTTCAATAGGAGTGGGCCTTCCTGGTTGTTCCTGCCACTCTGATGGAGGCAAACCAGATTCAAAATCCAGAAAAGGTGATGCCCCTCCTTTTAAGAACCTTGGGGAGACAACTCTCCTTGATTCCTGGGGCCCAAGTTGTCTGAACCTTCCTGTATGTAGCCCTCTTCTTTAAACAAACAAACAAACAAACAAAAAACTCAGATGTAAGGGAGCTTGCTTAGTGGGTAAGAGTGTTTGATGTTTAAGTATGAGGTATGGTCACATGACCCTAACCCCAGTACTGTAGAGAACAGAGATGAGAAGATCTTGGGGGCTTGCTAGTCTTGTTCCAGGTTCAGTGAGATCACATATGAAGGAATAAGGCAGAGAGTGATGGCCTCTGCACACATATACCCAACTATTCCCAGACACAATTACAAAAAAGAAAAAAGATGGAGGTCAGCCTGGTCTACGTAGCAAGTCTAGGTCAGCTGGGGCTACAGAGAGACCAAAACAACAAAAACAAAAACCAACAGGAAAAAAAACCCCACCAAAACATTAGCTGAAACTGTGAACCTTCCTTCTACTACTAAAGCACACAATTTTTACAGGATGATCACCTGTGTGGAAAACAATCACTGTATAAGAGGACCATATCCTCTAGATCATAGATTGGCTCTCAAGTACGGGAATCTATGAAACCCAAGATAGGGTCCTCACTCCCCACCCAGAAACCAGATAAAGAGCCCTGCTGAGCAAGTACAACTGAAAACCCCATTCTGGGACTGGGGGTGTAACTCAGAAGCAGAGTGCTTGCCTAAAATGTATGAGACCCTAGGCTTGATTCCCCATCACCTCCACTACAACCAAAACAAACAAATATTTCCAAAGAGTTAAAGAGCTAAGGATGTGTCTCCAAGGTACACTGTCTGCTCAGCTCCAGGCCCTGGATTCATTCCTAATACCATCAAAAGACGAAAAGATGGGGGAGGCAGAGATGCGCGCCAGTTCTCACTCACGCTCATGGCAGCCACGTCATTCTCGTAGGCCTCTCGAACCTTCTTCATGATCTCCTGCTCAGCCCTGCAACAGTTCTCAATAGCCCCCTTCACAGTGATAGTCCTCTCAGGGTTGTAGAGAGTGAGATCCTGCAGCCTAACAAGAGAGCAGGGCACGGTCAAGCAATGGGCAGTGCAGGACCAGGACCAGGTCCCAGTCAGGCACAAGGTCCAAAGACAGCTCAGTCATAGGTTCAACATTTCTGCCAGCAAGAAACTCTTCTAGCCTTAGTGCCCCCTTTCCCACCCCCCACCCCCCGCCCCACCCAGTAACTAGAGCGAGGAGAAAGTAAGAATATCCAAGCAAATCCCCTGTTGGAAGACAGCCAACCACATAAGGCTGTGATCAGCAGTCATGCAGGATGGATGGAGGTAGCCTTTTTCTTGTACTATTTTGCAAAAGAGCAGTTACCCTGAAGACAGGTTAGTCTCTAAGAAAATGGACAGGGGCACAATGCTTGTAAAACCAACTAATCCATGCCCTTAACTGGTTCTTCCAGAGAGGCAGGCAGAAAAAGAGGTTTGTCCACTTCTCGAAGTGGCAGACAGACCTAAAGCCCCTTGCTGCAGGCTATCCTGGAGATGCAGAGGGAAAGAGCTAGAATGTTGTGGAAGAGTGTAGAAGCAATAGGGTGCTCCAGACCATATCTAAGGAAAATGTTTCTCACTGCTTAATATGCTTTATGCAGGCAGATGTAGTATCTAATGTATGGGGCAGATGTCAGGCTCAATAATGAAATCCCACGCATCCCTGGCCCAAGCTCACCACTCCCATAAAGAACAAGAAACACTGAGATCCTTACGAGGAGATGGTGATTTTTGTCTCTGTGTCCTGCTCCACCTTCTTCAGGTTCCGCCCTTCTTTGCCAATGAGTCGTCCCACAAAGTTATTATGGGCCAGGATCTTCAGGGGAACCTCGTCAGCCCTGGGGAGGAAGTGAGGGACAGCTCGTTCAAGGGTGGCAGCAGACTTGGCCATCGGGGTCATCCATGACAAACCCAGTAGAAAACCTCAGGTCAAAAGTGTAAGATTATGAAAAAACCAGTAGATCAGTGGTTTTTATAAACAGGACTGAGGGTAAGGATGGATTGTAGAGGACACGAGGGAACTTCAGGGCTATGGCTTTACTTCAGCTGTGATCCTGGTTTTAACAGGTAGTATACAAACAAATACATCTAAACTCATCAAACTGTATACTTGAAAAGTATGTGTAATTGGATTTGGGTGTTCAGCTCAGTGGTGGTGATGATGGTCCAGCATGCTTAAGGACCAGGCCAAGATCCCCAGGGGAAAGAAAGTGAGAAAGGGAAAAGAGACAGTTATGTGATTGAGCCAGGTACAGAAGCATGTGTCAGGAGACCGAGGCTGGAGAATCAATTGATCCCAGGAGGCCAGCTTAGGCAACATGGAAAGAACCTACCGCCCCCCCCACCGCAAAAAAATAAAACAAAAACTAAAGATTACTTATACTAATTAAACCTCAATAAAGCTGTATCAAAAACCACTCAACTGGAGCTAGAGAGATGGCTCAGCGGTTAAAAGTACTTGCTCTTAAGGAGGACTGCGGTTATGCTCCCAGCATGGTGGCTCACAACCACCTCTAACTCCCATTACAGAGGATCCAACGCCCTCATTTGACTTCCACAGGCAATGCACACACATGGTGCATGCACTTCATCCCATGTCTTGTGTTGGTGATCTCCCTCTCTCTCAGTGAATTTGTATTTTCTATTACATATGTTGGCACAAGAAAAAAATCTCAAAAAGGCTTAAAACAACAGATATGATGGTGCAAGCCTTTAATCCTAGTACTCGGGATGCAGAATCAAGCAGATCTCTGAGCTCCATTTACAAGTTCCATGCCAGCCAGGGACACAGTGAGATCTTGCCTTAAAAAAAAAAAAAAAAAAGGCCAGGCTGGAGAGATGGCTCAGCGGTTATGAACACTGGTTGTTCTTGCAAAAGACCCGGGTTCAAATCCCACCACCCACATGGAAGCTAACAACTGTCCATAACTCCAGTCCCAGGGGATCCAACAGCCTCTTCTGTCCTCAATGGGCATTGCACAACACGGGCGCACTTACCTACATGCAGGCAATACACACATACACATAAAATAAAAATAGTAAATAAAATATTTTTTTTTAAAAGGCCCAGCATGGTGGCGCATATACTCTTAATCCCAAAACTCAGAAGGCAGAAGCATGTGGATCTCTGTGTCTACAGAGAGAATTCCAAGCTAGCAGGGGCTACAGGGAGACCCTGTCTCAAAAAACAAACAAACAAAAAAGGTGTATGTATAGAACAGTATTTCAGTATGGTCCTCTGTTCTAACACACATGCACACTCATTTGTTCACACTCCATCTGTGACTACTCACATGCACAGGCATCCACACATATGAACACAAATATAAATGCTATGTATGAGTCCATAAAAATGCTAGACTATACATCTAGAAACATTCAATTTCTGCATTACTGCAGTGTAAGTATAGGCTAAGGGTGTGGCTCAATGGCACATAAAAATGCTAGACTATACATCTAGAAACATTCAATTTCTGCATTACTGACTGCAGTGTAAGTATAGGCTAAGGGTGTGGCTCAATGGTAGAGCACTTACTTGCCTGACATGTGTGAAGCCCTGGGTTTGATTCCTAGTACTGCGGTGGGAGTGGGGGTGGGGGGAAGTGGCAGTCCAAGTAGGTCCAACTGGAGCTTACGTTTTGGTGTCCTTTGCCTCCTTATGCATAATCTCCAAGATCATCTTACAGGCTGAGGAGCAGCCCTCTGGGGTTGAATGCACACTGATGGCCTTTTCTGCAGCTCCTGCATTCTCCTTTCTATGCACATCTATCCTGAGGACCACAAAGACAAAGTCTAGTTAGTCATCCACAGTAACATTGGTCTTTAGGCTTCTCCCCACTCTTGTCAATCAAAGTGGAACAAGGCCTGTCAAGCACAGAACTGGAAGGTCAAAGAAAGGGCCAGGGAACTGTGGCCAGCCTGTTACTCTGCCTCTGTCTCTATCCCCTCCAGAAGGTGGCTGGGGAAGAGAACATAGACCACCACACAGCTCTTGGGTAGGGACTCCCAGGCTGTTCGGCTGTGAAGTTAACCTTCCCTTGGATTCTACATGTCCTATATCAAGCAACACACCAAGCAAACACACTGTCCCAACTACAAGTAAATTAATAAAGCGATTTACTAAGGATTGGGACACAGTGGGACCTGATCTTCACCATACACATTGATCTGCTATAAAGATAAGGGAAGGAGGTGGTTGTGCTAAAATGTGAGTTGAGACATAATTATGACTTGGGCATAGCTGATCAGCCCCATGGCCAACATTAAATGATCACTTATCACTGAACACCCAAGGGGTTGCTGCCTCTGAACTCATAAGGACCAGGTTTTCTGGAACAACTTGATGGCAACAACTTGATGGGTAGAGCTCTTCCTGCCAATGACAGTCCATGGCCTAGACTCACTCTCCCTCCTCACTTGTCCACCCCTCCCACAGAGGGAAGACTGGAAACAGTCACCACCCAAGCAACATTTCCCAGAAGAACAGTGCTGATACGCCACAGGGTGCTTCTAGGAGCCTCCCCAGGCACCAACACTCAGACTCAGCTTCCCTTCTCCAGTACTCACTTGGACTGGGTCTGTTTTGTGATGTTACGAATGGTAGCACCCTCCTTGCCAATGATAGCACCCACATACTGTGTGGGCACCAGGAGTCGGAGGGGGATGTCCACTTGCTGCTGCTTGGCCGGAGCCCCTGCTGCCACCGGTGAACCCTGCCGAGGCTGACCCCGAGAGCCAAAGCCACCCCGGCGCCCATTCTCAGGGCCCTGTGCTATCTGCTCGTCGGGTATGTATGAGACCTTCAGGGCATGGTTCTCCAACTGGTGGCCATTCAGCTTCATAATGGCTCTGGGAACAGACAGAAAGTCCACTGGTCACTCAAACCCATGCCAATCACATCAAGTACTTTCCCTATGCAAAGGGCCCACTGAGCTATAGCTGGGACACACTGGCAATCAGATATCTGCCACCCCACCCACCATCACCTAAGGAAACTTCCAGTCCCTAAGACAGAAAACACTAAGGGAAAAGAAATGCAGCGATGCTTCACGTTTAGTTTGGATTTATCGTTGACAAGAACTTTCTAACTTAGGGGCTAGAGAGAGGGCTCGGCAGTTAAGAGCATTGGTTGCTCTTGCAGGACCTGGGTTCAATTCCCAGGACCCACATGCAGCTAACAACCATCCATAACTCAGTTCCAGAGGATCTGTTGCTTTCGTCTGACCTCCAAGAGCATTGTGAGATAAAGATGCACTTACACCCACAGGCAATACACTTATACACATAAAAATAAATTTTTTTTTGTCTTTTTGAGACAGGGTCTCCTTGTAGCCCCAGGTGTCCTGGAACTCACTATGTAGACCAGGCTGGCCTTGAACTCACAAAGATCAGCCTGCCTCTGCCTCCCAAGTGCTGGGATCAAAGGCATGCACCACCACACCCAGCATTAAAATAATTTTTTTTTAATTATAAAAAGAACCTTTCACTTAGGCCATTGAAAAATGTTGAAGCAAGAAAACCACCAAAACAATTTTTTTTATTTTAAATAAAAAAAACATCAAAAGCAAAATACAGCAAATCCTATGTCAGATCAACTATAAATGGCCAATATGTAATGTATAAATGTGTGGTCTGCCTATACCAGTGAGAGCCCTAGAAAAGTATCAGGTAGACTCCTAACACTCTGTATTTAAAGCTCTTGAGCAAGGCGTGGTAACCCGCATCTATAATCCCAACATTCAGGAAATGGAGGCAGAATAATCAGTTCAGGGCCAGTGAGTTGGAGGCGACACATGGTTTCAAAAGACAGACAGACAGACAGACAGACACACGCACACACACCCCAACTCCTTTCAAAGCAGGCAGTTTCCCCTCATAACCAAAAGATGGCACCATCCACACAGCAAAGGACCCTGCAGTTCCTGAACAAACCAAAGCCAAGAAGTCTCACCTTCCCCGACCCCTCCCTTCAGTGCGTTTTTCCTAAAGTAACTTTGAACATGAAGGAATCATGTCCCTGGAAAAGACCTTTTATGGGATTCAAGGGTTGGCTGGACCAATAGCAGAACCACCCAGTTGGGGATTCCAGCCTGCCTTCCTCATGTTCCTCATCTGATGCATTATCCAGTTCAAATGGAAGAATCCAGCTCTTACCACTCACACAGAAACACTCCCAGCCACATTTCCAAGGTACTCACTGCCTGGTCTGCTCCCGGTTGGAGTAGGTGACATTGACCACTGCTGTCTCACTCTCGGTGTTCACTGCAGAGACAACAGGCCACCAAAGTTAGAGCTCTGCCAACCAACCCAACCTCAGTTTCCTGTGTCTGAAGGCCAGAAAGGCACACAGCTTACTATCCTGACCTAATGAAACACAGGAATTTGCAAGAGACCTCCTTTACTGCTGACACTGGAAAATCCAGCCTTTCCTGCTTTCCCCACCAAAAAGCCAGTACACAAAGGTGTGGCAACTGGGCAGCAAGGCAAACATCCCCCTCCCATATACACACTCCCACTCCAGAGGCAAACTTACCCCAGCAAAGTTAAACTAGCTAAAAATCAACACCCAGTAGGGTGTGGTGGGCACACCTTTAATCCCACAGAGGGAGGCAGATCTCAGAGATGAGGCCAACCTGAGTTCCAGGTCAGCCATAGCTACAGTTGAGACCCAGTCTCAAAACAAATTAACACCCATTGGGTGAGATTAGCAATTTACAGAGGTAAATGTTCCAAGAAAAAATGGTCTTGGGTACCCTTTCTTTATTTTATTTTGTCTTTTTTTTTTTTGGTCTTTTTTTTGAGACAGGGTCTCCCTGTAGGCACAACTGGCCTGGACCTCCCTATGTAGACCAGGCTGGCATTGAACTCACAGAGATCTGCCTGCTTCTGCTTTCTGAGTGCTGGGATTAAAGGTGTGTGCCACTGCACGAAGCATCCCTTTCTTAAATGGCTAGAGACCTGAGACCACCCAAATCCATTCTAGAAGCTATCTTCAAGCCAAAGCAAAGAAGCCCTTGGTTTTGGAATCTACATGAAAAAAACAAAAATATGCTTGCACCTTTCTCAGAGGAAGACTTTCAGACTTGAGTGTTCTTGGCAGTGGACATAGGCATGTTGGGTCATCATAGCTATGAGTCACTGGCATGAATCCCACCAAAGCGCTTGGATTTTATTTACCAATTTACATTGTACTTATTATTTTGCAGCACCAAGGATTGAACCTAGGTCCTCACAGGTGGCACTCAGCCATTCTACCACTGAGCCACATCCTCAACCTTTGAGCCTCATCAGCAAGACTGTCCTACCTCAGTGATGAGAAGGGTCAGCAAGAATAACTTCAGGCTGCACATGATGCGTCTGTATCGCAGCACTTGAGGACAAGAAACAAACAAAAAGATCAAGGCCATTCTGGGCTACAGGAGACCTTGTCTCAAAAAAAAAAAAAAAGAAAAGAAACAATAGGGGGCTAGTGAGATGGTTTAGCAGGTAAAAGTACTTGGTGCCAGGCCTGATGACCCCAAGTTTGATGCTGAGACTCACATGAAAACCAATTCCTCCAAGGTATCCTCTGACCTACACACACGCATGCATGCGCATGCACACACACAGCATGGTACAAGCAGACATATGCAAATAAATGTAAAAAAAAAATTTAAGTAGGGGGTTAGAGAGATGGCTTAGAGATTAAGAGCACTTGGTCTCATGACCAGTTTGGTTCCCAGAACCCATGTTGGACTGTTCATACCAGCTCCAGCGGATCCAATGACCTCTTCCACCTGCTCGCATGTAGCGTACACTCACATACATATAAGTAAAAATAATAAATCTTTAAAAGTCAATAAAAAATAACTCATTCAGGTCTGGAGAGATGGCTCAGTGGTTAAGAACACTGACTGTTCTTGCAAAAGACCCAGATTCAAATCCCAGCACCCACACGGCAGCAAACAACTGTCTGTAACTCCAGTTCCAGGGTATCCAATGGCTTCTTCTGCCTTCCCCAGGCATTGTACAACATGGGTGCACTTACATACATGCAGACAGTACATGCATGCACATAAAAATAATAAATTAAAAAATTAAAAAATAACTCATTAAATAACTGGAAATAAAAGGAGTGACCAAACAATCCAAAACTTACATTCCAGTAGAGGAGAGCAAAAATAAGCAAAATAGGCCTTGTTGGTACATGCCTTTAGTGCCAGTACTCAGGAGGCAGAGGTAGGCAGAGACAACCTTGATCTACACTGTGAATTCCAGGCCAGCCAGGGTTACACAGTGAGAGCCTGTAAATGTTATCAATCATGAATGAGTGCTATGGAGAATCATCAGGGTAAAGAAGACAAGGTAAGGGATAGGTAGACAGACTGGACCATGCTTAAAAACTGGCATTTAAGCAGGACGAGGTGGCACACGCCTTTAATCCCAGCACTGGGGAGGCAGAGGCAGATGGATCTCTGTGAGTTCAAGACCAGCCTGATCTACATAGTGAGTTCTAGGACGAGGCTACAGGGAGACCCTGTCTCAAAAAGACCAAAAAAGAAGTGACATTTAAAGACTGGCATAGTGGTGCACACCTGCAATCCCAGCACTCTTGAGGCTGAGGCAGGAGGACTGCCATGAGTTACTTTAAAAACAGCTACATAGTAAGCTCCAAGCCAGCCTGGGCTACAAGGCTGTCAAGGCTGTCTCAAAAAGCCAAAACAAAAAGAAAGTGACTTTTAAAGCTGAGTGTGGCAGAACACACCTGCACTGTAATCCCAGCACTTGCCAGACTGAGGCAAAAGGATCTGAGATTCATGAACAGTCTGGGTTCAGTGTCTACTAGGACAGCCAGAGATATACAGAAGACTCTGCCTAAATAAAAAGAAAAACAAAGTGACGTTTGAGCTAGATGTGAAGGTAATTCCAGCATTGAGGAGTTAGAACAGGACTGTGTGCTTGAGGCCAGCCTCAGCAACATAGCAAGACCCCTCTCAAGCCAATTAGAGGTATTTATCGTTTTTGGTTTTTTGGTCTTTTTGAGACATGATCTTCCCGCTGGCCTGGAACTCACAAAGATCTTTCTACTATGCCTCACCCATGCTGGGATTAAAGGCATGCACCACCACGCCCGGCCATTTCTTTTTTTTTTAAAAAAAACTTCATTTAAAATTTCTTATTGTATGTGTATGTGTGTGTACTCGCACATCTGCATGGGTGGTCATGCATGTGGAGGTCAGAGTTTTCAGAAATTGGTTTTCTCCTTCCACCATGTAGGTTCCAGGGACTTAACTTGGCTCTTCAGGCTTGCTGGTAGTACTAAGCTAGCTCACTGGCCCTTCAGGGCTTTTTCTACTCAGTAAAATAAAACACAGCCCATACTGTTCATCAGGTGAGAGACAGCTAAGTCCTAGCTGGCAGAGGCAAGGCAGTGAAGACACCTGCTGCAGCAACCAGGGCAGCTGAGCCTGTACTCAACGCCAAACCACTGCTCACTGTGCCTCTCTAGCCTAACTTACTCGTTAGTCTAAGCTGAAAGCAGGACTGAGTAATAGTTATCAGTGAGTTCAGTTGTGTCCTGGCATGTGAGATAAAAGGCAAGTTATAGGATTAGAGTAGAGTAGAGAGCACACAAGGAATTTGGAAATTAATATTTAAACCTCAGACAAAGCAACTGCTATTTCTTGAAGATTTCAAAAACTTAAAGTCTCTCCGAAGTATAAAGACTATTGCTACACTATTCACAATAGTCAAGAACTGGGCTTCTGCCAAGCCTGATGGCTCACACCTTTAATCCCAGCACTAGGGAGGCAGAGGCAGGTGGATCTCTGTGCATTTAAGGCCAACCTGGTCTACATAGTAAGTTTCAGGCCAGCTGGGGCTACAGGGAGACCCTGTCTCAAAAAGACCAGAGAGAAAGAGAGAACCAATCTAAATGGCTAACCACAAAAAGAAAAACAAAAATCTGTCTCAATCTCTCTCTCTCGTACTCTCTCTCTCACACACACACACACACACACACACACAAATACTATTTAGTCATAAAAATTGAAATCCTATCATGTAGAAAAAATGTGGATGGAAGGAACCAGAGGTTATTATGTTAAACTAAATAAAGCCAGGTTTAGGCAGGTATGGCCAGCCAGGTCTACATACCAAGTCCCAGGCCAGCCAGGGGTACATAATGAAACCTTGTCTCAAAAGAAATAAATAGAGCAAGCAAGCCAGGTTCAGAAAGTAGGTGATCTTTCCTGAATGTAAAGGGAGTGGAGAGGAAAGGGGAAGGAAGGGGAAAGGGTAGAAGGGTAAGGAAAAGGGAAGAGAAGGACAGGATTGAGAGGACAAGAAGGAGATCTCATTGAACAGTAGAAGGATGGTTACTAAAGGCCTGGGGAAGGAAGGACATGGAGAGGCTGAGCAATGGATACTCTACTAAATCACAGCTCAGGAGGAAGGTTTCCAGTGTGTTGCTGCACAGTAGGACAGCTACAGATGACATTATGCATTTCAAAAAGCAAAAAGAAAGGACTTGGAATGTTTTCACCAAAAAGAAATAAACTGATGCGACAAATATGCTTAACCTAATTTAACCATGACACAATGCACATATGCATCAAACCATCACACATACCCATAAACATGTAACATTTTTTATATATTGCTTTAAGAAAAATCTAAAACCAGCTTTATACCCAATCAAAACGCTCCATATTTAAGCTAATTTTCTCTGCAAAGAATTTACAATCACAGTAATAGAGAAACCACAAAATTCACAGCAAATTTTTTATGACCTAGAATTTTCTATTATTTTTCTCTTGGTAGGCCTGCTTGTCAAAGGATTTTTCCTGCCCATCGAACTGTTTATAATTAAATCCTGGGCGTTTAATTGACCAAAGACATGTAGTTACCAATCAGATCATCTATTTATTTTCATGAGTGTTTTGTCTGTATGCTATGTAAGTGCACCTGTGCGTGCAATGCCTACAGAGACCAGAAGGTGGGGGCGTGAGATCTCCTGGAACTGGAGTTAAGGACAGCTGTTAGCTGCCATGTGGGTGCTGGGAACTGAACCTGGTCCTCTGCAAGAGCAGCCAGTGCTCTTAATCACTGAGCCATCTCTCTGAACCCCAATCAGAGATAACCAGTGGGCTATTCAAGTCAAAACCAAGAAAATGAGGCTTTTAAAGCAAAAGGGCAGGTAAGCATTTCCAACCCTTTAATCCCAGGCACAGGCAGATCTCTGTGAGATAGAGGCCAGTCTAGTCTACATAGCAAATTCCAGGCTAGCTGGGGCTACAGGGAGACCCTGTCTCAAAATAAATATATATAATTATATATACAATTAAATAATAATTATATAAAGGGTTGGAGACTTGCTCAGATTTGAATACACAATTTCTATTCTTTTGTTTATTCAAGACAAGGTCTCCTGAAGCCCAGGCTGGCCTCCAAACCACTACAAAGCCAAGGATGACAACTGGGTGCCTGATCCTCCTGCCTCTACCTCCTATGTGCTTGGACCACAATCAGCTACTATTTCATTCACTTAATTAACAATTTACAAAAATTCCTTTTTTTTTTTTTTTGTCTTTTTGAAATGAGGTCTCCTTGTAGCCCCAGTTGGCCCAAGAACTTCCTATGTAGACCAGGCTGGCCTCAAACTCACAGATATCCACCTGTCTCTGCCTCCCAAGTGCTAGGACCACAGGTGTGGGCCAACATGCCCAGCACAATTTCTATTCTTATAAACTGCTACTGAAATCTTGTGATTCCTGCAAGCCCAGGGACTCCATAACGGGGAGGGGTGAATTTCAAGCCCCACTAGACCGAAGCCCAGTTCCATGGGCCAGCTGTCTAGATGCCAGGCCAGAAGATCTGCTATGCCTGACTGTCTGCCACTCTTCTTCCTAGCAGATCTGATCACAGAATGACTCCTTGCACACCCATTCATTCATCCCTCACCCAGTCTTACCTTGTTCACAGTTCTCTACTGTACCATATTGAGCCAGCAAGCTGTCTAGTACCTGAGTGTAGAGAAAGCAGGAAAACGCCTCTGAGCATCCTGGACCTGGACACCCCTTTCCCCACAAGGTCTGGGGCACAGCAGGGCCATCAGTAGGAATTGGGCATTCTGACCAGCTTTCAGTTCCATCTGGCCAGAGACCTACTGCTGATGGCAGCTTCAGTATCTGTAGGAAGGTTCCTGACCTCCAGGAAAAGGGCATTTTTTTAAGCAGACCTGTGCTTTTGCCATCAGTAAAATTCAGAGTTCAGGAAAAACTTCCTTAATGGCTCTACTACAGGGCATGAGTGAGGAAAGAGACCTTACCAACCCTAGACCCAAGGGGACCTCTCTAGTCATTTCTTCCAACTCAGGCAGACTCAGACTTACTGTCCAGTCTCTGCTCTCCAAGCCACAGAGCAAATCCCTCCCAAACACTTACTTCCCATCGGAGCTGAGGTGGGATGTTTCGGATCTGAATTTTCCGACTCCTGAAATGAAAGAAAGCACAAAGGGTTAAAGAAAGCTCTAGAGGCTTTTAGGCCCCTGCAACTTGGGAGTTACTAATTTCTGTCCCAGTCTCTTATCCTCCTGATGATCCTGCTCACCAACCAAAAATCTTAGAATGGTAGGTCTCCCCACCTCCACCCCATCAGCTCTTAGAATAGCAATCCATTAGGAATGCAAACTTCGAATTGGGGAGCCTCACCTTGGACACCAAACTACCAACACAACCAGAGGGGAATTCAGAACCAGATGTTCTGAGCAGGAGGGTAGCAAAAGGATCACAAATATTTTGTTTACCGCAACTTAGTTCCTCATCTACTCCTTCCTTCAGCATCTGTGTTTAGCACTACAACATCGTCAAATGAGACAGTGACTATTAATTAACCCAAAAGTTATTTAATTGGTACCTACTTCGTGTTCTACTTTGCTCCAGAGACTGAGGCGCAGCAATAAACAAAACAGACGGAATGCCTGGCCCAGGTGTTCACATTGTATTAGGCGAAACAATATATGCAAACAAACTACAGTAGGATAACAGTACAGTGGTTAAGCCCTTGGCACAGCTAGGGATCTAAACCACTATTAGCACTGATCTTTAAAAGATTATTTAGCTTCTCTGAGGCCCAGTTTTCTTCTTTGTACAACAGGGATAATACCTATTCACAGGTGGTAGGTGGCATTAGATAATATTTGTAAAGAGCTTAGTAAAGACTTGGACTAAGTACTTAAAAGTGTAACAATAGATGCATCAGTTGAATGCTAAGGTGCTCTGGGAGTGATTAACACACACAGCCCAGCATCAGGACCACCTCCCTCCCAGTTGACTAGACTTATTCTTTCCTAGATTTAAAATGCCTCTGAAAAAATACGACTTCCTTGAGGAAGGCTTTCGGATTCAGGGCTAACTCCCAGGAAACTGCTCACCACCCAAATCAATACCCTAATCCCTGAGTTTAAGACACTTAAATTGACTTGATGCATTAGTCAATCATCATTTAGGCCTATATCTTTGATCACAAACTCTTAGTTCAAAGACAAGGTCTAACAAAATCCTAGTGGCTTAAAGGAAAGCTGGGCTAGAATACAAGAAAGGACTAGGGAATCAGAAGTTCAAGGTCATCCCTGGTTATACAGAGTTTGAAGTCAACCTGGGCTGTGAGACCCTATTGAAAGAAAGAAAAGGAACAGTAAAAGAAACCAAAAGGAAAGAGAAAGGGAAAGAAATAGAGACAGTCTACTTCAGGTTCTTAAAGGCTTGCTTAAGCCACTTGTATCCTCAGCGGCCTACAAATAAAGCTGGTTTCCAGCTGGGGGCTAGAAGCGTGCTGCATCCAAACTTAAATGTGTTGGCCTGGGCTGTCCTGGGCTGTCCTGGGCCGGATTTCCTCCCTCTACCACTGCAGGGTCTAGTGTCTCCAGGCACAAAACAGAAATGGGGCAGTCTCTGATATCCCTTCTAGTCTGCAATTCTGAGCATTTAAAGTCTTTATCCATGAAAATGTGGGCTGAAAATAGCTTCGGGAAAGGTGGATGTATGGGAAAGAGAATCTTTGTGGCACTCTACTTCGGTTGGTTCATGAACTTAGCCAAACAAAGCTGGATTACAAGATACAGTGAGGATCAGAAATAAATCCATCCAGGCCCGAAGACACACTCAGTGATCTGATCCCAGCACTCGGGAGGAGGATTACCACATGTGGAAATCTAGTCTGTTTTACAAAGTGAGTTCCAGATCAGCCTGAAAAGTAGCCTTAAAGTGAAAATGAGAGAGAGTGGGAACTATAGAGAAAAAGAAACGAGGTTGGAAGTATAGCCCAGTTGGTGCAGTACTTGCCCCCCCCCCCGAGTTCATATAGAACGCCAGGCATGGTATCCAATGCTTGTAATCCCAGTACCCAAGGTAAAGGCAGGAGGATCAGGAGTTCAAGGCCATCCTACCTTGGCTACAAATCGAGTTCAAGGTCAAATTTGGCTACAGAAAGCTTTATAAAGAAAAGAGGAAGAACTAGTAATAATAATAAACCCAAGCCAGGCGTAGTGGCACATGCCTTTAATCCTGAATCTCTGTGGAGTAGGTGGATCTCTGTGCGTTCAAGCCCAGCCTGGTCTACACAGTGAGTTCCAGGCCAGCTGGGGCTACAGGGAGACCCTGGCCTAGAATTCCCTATGTAGACCAATCTGGCCTTGAACTCACAGAGATTTGCTTGCCTCTGCCTTCCCGAGTGCTGTGACTAAAGGTGTGTGTCACCACACCCGGCTTCAAACAGACTATTTTCAAATTGGTGAAGAACAGGGGGAAAGAAATGATCACCTCGAAGAAATGAACATTTGCTCTTGTTTAATGGTAGGGGTGTACCAGACCAAGATCCCTCCCCCTCCAATGAATCCTTTTAGACAGAGGGCAGGAGAGGGCTGCCTACCTATAAAGCAACCCTAGTGGTTTATTAGTAAACCTAAGATCAAAGGTCAAAACTTCCCTCTTCAAACTCAGCTGGAGGAAGGGAGGGAGGTTCTACTCAGGGAACAGAAAGGTGGTAACAATGAATTCAATTTTCTGCTGGGATGTTAATCCATATCCTGAAAGAAATGGCAGGCAGATAGGATGGAATGTCTGGAATGTTCCAGGAGAGGGAGGGGGAGGAGGGCTGGGCCACCCAACCAATGAAAGAAAGGCCGGCAGCATTCCCTCAGCCCTCTAGGGCACACACCCCACCCTGGGAACCCACTCCAGGCCCCTTCCAGGCCTCCTTTCAGCAAAGCCCCCAGCCATATTAAAGCAGAGGGAAGAGGGCACAGAGGAGCTGAGGCCTCCAAGAACCTTTGTCTCTCTAAGCCCTTAGCCTGGTTTTCCACTGAGTATGGCACTACCCAATTCCTTTTGGGTCCAAACTACATGGGGCAATGCTGAGACCTGTAACCAGAATTTCGATCCTTGAATAACTCATTCATGCTACATACAGGGGAGTGTGGATTAAGAAGGTGTGCTGAGGGCTTAGAGGCTCCTGGAGGCTCAGAAACTTTTATTTCTCTCCACGGTGGTTTCTTCTGGCAGAAACCAATTCCAGTAAAGTATTTGTACTTAAAAGGTTTGTGAACCAGGCTGCCTGCCATGTAGCACTGCCATGTAGCACTCCATCCCATGCTCCAGTGCCTGAGAAACTGCAGGTGCTGAATCAGCATGAAAAGAGCCAGCAGGTAGCTGTTACCATGTGCCACTTGGTGAGAAGGACGATAAGTCATTACAACATTTAGGGTCTTTCACAGTGATGAGAAAATCGTAGAAATAATGTTACCATGTGCCACTTGGTGAGAAGGACGGTAAGTCATTACAACATTTAAGGTCTTTCACAGTGATGAGAAAATCGTAGAAATGATCACTGTCTTTGAGCCCTACTTCAAGTCCTCTACCTACTCTACTTTCTTGGTCAACAACCCTGCTCCAGTAGGCCAGGTCTTTCCACCAGGCCAAGAAGAACAGTGTTTATGCTCTATAAGTAAAAAGGCACACCTGAGTCGTTCTAGCTCTGCCTGGAGAGACCAAACCCCGGTACCCATTGTTTAGCAAATGAGAGAGAACCTGCAGAGGTTCTTTAACTACCCTAATCCACCAGTAGGTAAGGCTGTTTATTGCAAGAATGAACTGCCAACAATGGTCATTAAGGGCAAAGGCTACACCAGACAAAATGATTTTCATGAGTGCCAAGTCTGTGGCTTTCTCATGTCATGTCCTCTGCCTGCCCTGGTCCATCAGGCATGGATCAGGACCTGGAGGGCCCCTCAACAAACACTTGGTAATTAGGAAGAACTCACCTCTGGAATGCTGCCAGGCCAACCTGGTGATGTGAGGGCCAGGGGAACTGGCCAGGGAAGATTTGGAGAAGCAAAAGACGAAAGAACATCATTGATCATAAGGAGCTACTTAGGAGAGCAAAACCTCAGGAGGCTCGGCCCACCCAGGAATGGTACGAAGGTGAGATTCTCCCTAGAGCTGAAACTCATGCTCCCAGGTGAAAGAGGTAGGTGCAGCACCTGTAATCCCAGCACCAAGGAGGCAGGAAGAACCCCAGGGCTTGCTGGCCTGCCAATCTAGCCTAATTGGACAGCCTCAGGTTCAGTTCAGAGGTCTCAAGCTAAGGTGGAAAGCAATTAAGGATGACACCATCAACCTCTGGCTTCCACATATGTACACACATATCAGCATATGTGTGAAAATGTACATACACACACAAGGAGGTAGGGAAGCTGAGATTCAGGAGTGCCCACTAGACTCCAATATCCACATCATCCTGTATAACCCTCCCGCTGCCCATGGAGATTGTGTCAGTGGCTCTGTTTGACAGACCAGAGACTTGGTATCTTGGGGCTGGAGCAATGGCTCAGCTATTAAGCGAACTTGCTGCCCTTGCAGGGGTCGCTTCCCAGCACCCATATGGCAGCTCATAAACATCTGTAACTCTAGTTCCAGGGAGTCTGAGTCCTCTTCAGGCCTCCTTGGGCACAAGGCCATGGTACATATACATACAGGCAGACAAAAGCCTTGTAACATATAAAACATTAAAAGACTCAATATAAGCTGGGCATGGTGGCGCACACCTGTAGTCCCAGCACTTGGGAGGCAGAGGCAGGCGGATCTCTGTGAGTTCAAGGAAAGCCTGGTCTACATAGTGAGTTCCAGGACAGCTGGAGCTCAAGGGAGACCCTGCTTCAAAAAGACAAAAAAAAAAAAAAAAGACTCAATATATTGATGTTTTGAGATAGGATCTCACTTTGGTTTTTGTTTATTTTAGTTATTTGAGACAGGGTCTCCCTGTAGCCCCAGCTGGCCTGGAACTCATTATGTAAACCAGGTTGGCCTTCAACTCACAGAGATCCGCCTGCCTGTCTCCCAAGCGCTGAGATTAAAGGCATGCACATCTCGTCGGCTACGATCTCACTTTATCCCTGGCTGGCCTAGAAATCACTACATAGACCAGGTTGGGCTGGA